GTTCCGCATTAATAAACTGTCCGTGCTGGATACCCAGTAACTTGGCCCTACGATTGTGTTCTCGACTGGGATAAGTGATGCTGGTGCTTCCGATGTATACGTCCGACTGCGGGTTGACGGAACGTGGAAGGTCCGGGCGGAGTTCGACTCGCTGCTTCCAGTACACTGCGTTGGGCTGCAAGAAGTGGGTGAAGGTGTACATGTTCGGGTGGATGCGTAGACGCCGGAGTCGGCGCCTGAGCTCCGTGAGTGCGTGCGTGGGACGACCGTAGTGATGAACCATCAACAGTGTGGACATTGACTCGGACCACATAGACAGTTGCTTGTTGACCATCGGCATGTTGAGGATTTGGCGACTGGTGACGATGATCAGATAGAGAACCTGATAATACTGGTGGGCTGCATGCACATCGAGGGAATCCCCGAGTCTGATTGCAATAAGCGCAACGATGTAGGGAAGGAAATAATCGGTGCCATGCTGCAAGCTCACTGGCCAAGATGGTTCGGGGATACCATAATGTCTGGCTGCACTGTAAAGCTCCGACCGTGTATACTTGCTGTATAGTTGCAAAAGAAAAACCGTTTCTGGAGTTTGAATGACCGGCATGGCTTAGCCATGCATCCAACGCTCGAGCACTGGACGGTTGATTGGGCCAACAGGAAAGATCGGAGAAAAAACGGAAAAACGGAAAAAGGCAAAAGAAGAACCCACCCGCGACCCCGAGAACCACAAGAAAACAAAAGGAAGGAGAAAAGGCCGCTGATGGTCTCAGGGCAAGGTGCAGGCGTGAGGAGCAGCGGGCTTTTTGTGCCAGTCGTGTCAATGGTGCTAACTTCCGTCCTCGTGAGCGCTACCGCCACTCCCCTCACTTGCCATACATGTACATCACCGTGATGAACTGCAGGAGTGCTCGCTTCGATCCTTTGCTCACTAAGGATATGGTGGCCCCCCACTTGACCGCAATGGTTTTCAACTGCTCCACCGTGTCGGATGCCAGCTCCTGCTTGATGAGATCAAGGTAGGTCGCTTGGTTGGACAGCGTGCGTTCGTGTAGCCATGCCTTGAAGACCTTGTCCGTGAGGCTGGTGGGAAGTGGCACCTGTTGACCTTTGGGGTTCCCCTGACGCAGAAGTTCTGAGTCTAGAGTGACATCCGGGGCAGCCGCCGGGGTCTTTCTCTTTGCTGGTCGTCGCTTAGGGGCTGGATCAGCCTCTGGAGATGGAACTGGTAGGGGAGGTCCTGGCTGATCTGAGTTGGCCGCGTTGATGTAGAGGGACTGGTCAGAGCGGCCGGGCGTGGGGGTCCAGGACGCGGCATTGGAAGGGGACGAGGATGGCAGTTTCTTATCCGGTGTAAGAGTGATGCCCTTGTTCTTGTAGCGCTCCAGCTGTTGTTCCAATTCGGCAATTTTGTGGCGGGTGAGGTTCTCCTGCTTGGCGGGCTGCGAGGACTCCATGAGATCCACGATTTTGAGTGCAAGTGGCTCCATAAACTGCATGGCCTCATTGCGCTTATCCGGCGCATTGTCCGCGTGGAGAGAGCGAGCTGTCCTGTCGATGTCGACCTCCCTGCCTCTCAATGCTTTGAGAATGGATGTCAATAAGACTGCCTCGGCTATCGTCTGAGCCATGACTGGTGTGCTGTAGCGGCCATTTGACAGTGCTCGTAATGCGTGATCTTCTGCTCCTCCTCGAAGAAGTCGTGTCAGTGGAAGATCCAGGATAGCTGTTCCTGCGAGCCCGACTCTTCTGGACCACTGAGTAGGCTGAACGTGACGGTACAGCTGCAGACCACGGACCTCCGTATTGTCGAGGAAGATGTCGTCAGATTGGAAGGTGCTGGGGAGTAGCTGCGAGTATCGAGGCTGAGTGTACTGCGTTGCATCACCTTGGCCTAGAGGTGCCCGAACTGGAGGTTGAACTGGCGGTGCTGGTGGTGGGGGACGAGGACCTGTCTGCATGTGGTTTGTCCCACCACCGTGATAGTTGTAGAACTGACCGGGAGGTTGAGGAGGAAACTGGTGAGCCATATGTGGAGGCCGAAGAGGATTGACACGAGGTGCTGCTTCCTCTCGAGGTTGATGCTGCAAGGATTCCATCCGATTGGAGCTCAAATAGACCTCCTGCTGGGACTGCGGTACTGACCATGATGGAAGGTACGAGGATCCCGGATGCGAAGAGGAGGAGGGTGCCGATGTCGCCGGCCATGAATAGTTCCACTGAGAAGCCATCACGAGATGGGGGTTTGCCGTCAACACTTGCTAATAGATTAAAAGCTAGGGATACGCCACACATTGCCGAGACGGCACACATTGTCAAAACGGCACCCGAATTTCAACCAGACTCAGGGCAGTTTGAAACCGGGAAAAAGCAGTAGTCACACGAAACATCAAAAAGGCGAAAGAACCCGCAGTAAGACCAACACTGAAGTCGTGCTTGAATGAGGCTCTGGCGTGCACTTTTTGTCGCAAAATATCGTCGGTGGTCGAAGACGGCAGTGTGGCGAAGTATGCTCTTATTCGCAATGAAACATCATTAATTGTCATTGGTTACAGCAGCTCCTGGTGCAGGTTCACGAGCGGAGGACACCGGCGGGTGGCTTCGTATCGGTAGGCCATGCGAGTCCAACGATCTGGCTTGCCTCCGGGATCACCATCCAACACTTGCCCGACACATAGTGGATGACATCAGGACGTTCACTGGAATCCAGGGCCTCAATGCAAGCTTGCTCTCCTCCCGATCGAATCGGTTGACAGGTGCCGACAGCGCGTCCAAACAACAGCAATTGGGCCATGTTAAAAGACATGCTCCAGTTCTGGCTCATCGTGCGAGCAATTTCTTCAGCGTCATAGTCGGCGTGTCCAGTGATCTTCCAGCCCTGGGCGTAAAAGGCTGGGCACTCCGAGGAGTGCTGCCGGGAAGGATGGATCTGTCGGCTCCGCAGGATGCCTCTAGTGCCGCCGACACTGGATGCGTGAGTCCAGAGCAGCATGGGTCGCGTCTTCGTCGGTTCTTTGAGCCGAACTGTGGCGCCAAGGTAGGGGACGGTCAGCATGAACCAGTGCGGGGTGATCTTATAAAAGTGATGTTCCGGGTTGACCTTCGCATAGTTCAGAGTGGAGTGCTGAGACGGTATGCCGGCTGCATTCAAGGTAGCGGCCACATAGTCCATCTGCTCCTGATTGACTGGGATCCCATCGCGGAGATACGGTGCGGCAAGCACCTGAAGTTCGTTCCTCCAGGGGTCAGACTCCGGGTTGGGAAGCAGGATCAGCGGTGGGTGCACCTGCGGATTTGGGCGTAGTTGCATGCTCCTCGAGGACGACCCCACATCTGGGTGAGCACCTGTGGCGATGGGGCACTGCTTCTGCTACGCGGAAGTGGAGATCGATTGCTTCTCGGTCGTCGGGATGAGGCTTTAGTTGCCGTAGGCGCCCGGGATGAGGACTTGGCTGCTGTGGGCGCCGACGCGGCAAGATCCGATGCTGCCGTGATGGAGTTGTCCGATGTTGAGTCCCTTCGGGAGATCGGTGGTGGCGTCCTGGAGCGAGCTCGACCTCGCCGCTGTGGGGGCACTGACTTGGAGTAGGGGGAAGCGTTGTGGGAACGTGATCGATCTCCCTCCGTTGTGTGGCGTGACCTGGATGGTGGGTTGGGCGGTGGAAGCATCTGACCTGATGGGGTTGCCGTAGGGATCGGTGCGATAGGGGTCGGTGCTGTGGTCATAGGTGGGCATGCTGTAGTTGAAGCTGTTGGGGTAGTTGGCGTCATTGGAGTCATTGGAGTCATCGGTGTGGCCGGGCGTGCTTTCACCAGGATTTGCGGCAGGGGGCCAGCTACTGATGCAGGCCAGACATGCAAGGTAGGGATCGATGCCGAGGCGTCGCCGGGAGCAGGAGCCGGAACCGCAGGTTTGGTAGCCCTTGAGGTGCTGGACACCGCGCAAGATATGCTAGAAGCTGGTGTCACAAGCGCACTCCTGCTCGGTGATGCTGTCTGGTGCACTGGTGACCTGGGCGGCGTAGGGCCGGCAGTGTTCCTGGATGCCTTGGTCATGGGGCCTGCTGAGTTCGACATCGGGCCTGCGTTGGGCCGTGGCATCTGTTGCCAGCAATTGCGAGCCAATAACCAACTGGCGGTGTCTTGGAGTCAAGCCTGATATGTCGGGTAGTCTGGCAACCCGTCAAGTGGAGAAGTCAAACGTGAGGTGATCTGGGGTGCTGAAAAGTCCGGGACATGTCCAAGCCTGTGGTGAATGGTCAACGGCGAAAAGTCAACAGGGGGATTTCCAGAGTCGCGAGCGACAAGGTCCGGTGGCTGTCTGAAGAAGGTGTCGGTACATGGGTCAAAACAGGTGCCCGCAAAGGGGGTCAAGACACTGACCGAAGCCCGGACGCAGTGCCTAAACACACTTGATATGAGACGGCACCAATGCAAGAGTGCATCCCCAAGTATCTGAAAAATGGAGTTTCGTCAGCTAGCCTTCCCGATCTGTTCGCTCGCCGCGGCTACTCGTCAGTGCCCATGACTACCGCGACGAGGTACTAAGAAAGGGGTCGGTTTGCTGGCATGGGCATACTCCAATCAAGAGAGAGAGGGGCACGACCGCAGAACCCCTTAGGAACAGGGGGGCCACACACACACACACACACACATTGCGCCCCAGCTCAACCCACCTCTAACAAAAACGTCTGAACAAGTCGCCAACAACTATCTTTTCAAAATGAATAAGGTGGTCAACAGATTCGAATTCATCAGGTCCCCCCCCGGCCAAGTGGCTGCCGGAGTTTCAGCTTGGCCTGCCCATGGCCTCGGCAAAAGAAAGGTTCAGCGTGGAGGAAAGGAGAAGTTGTAAGATTTGACAGAGCTCGGGCTCCTTCTCTCTGGGGCGCACCATGCTTTTCAACGCGGTTCCAGGGAGCAAGGGAGTTGAGAGGCAGGGGCTGCTCCGGGCTGCTTAACTGACTCATTCTGAAAATGATTCCTTCCTTATTTACAACTTATATCGCAAACCCGAAACTGGCCATTCGTGAACTTATCGTGACGAGCTGAGTAAGCGCCGGTGCCAAAACGCGACGCTTGCTCGGTTTGTCAAATTCTCCGAAGTCTCCGAGTTCCCGGGTCCATCCGGATCCTCTCCTTTTCTTGGTGGGTTTTTCGTCCTTTTTCCTCCGGTCCTTTTCTCGGTGCCCCGGCCGCTCCACCGGGCTCTTCATCGCTTGCTGATGCAGCGACCCGAAGTCGAAGCCTCGAGAAAGAGAGAAAAGAGGAAATGAAAACGGAGAGCTTCAGTGAACAGAATGGAAAACCAACATGGAAAAAAAAAAAGCATGGAACAAACATGCACTGGTCCCTGTCTGTCCAGTCTCGCCCAAAACCCGCACGTTGGCATCGCACCTTGCCAGAAGTAGTGCGCGCGGACCTCCTCGGCACCGCCCTGGGAGTCTCGAGTCGGGCCGATTGAGCTTACACTTGCGTCACGTAGCCTGAATGAAGCGGATCGCTTGGCAGCTCTCCGCCTGCATCCCACGAGTCCCGCCTGCGCCCCTAGCCGGTGTGGCAGCTTCCGCAGAAGCTTGGCGATGAAGGCCCTGCCCCCTGCAGGGCAAGTCGCGGGGAAGTCCAGCCGCATCCTTACTGCGAGCCCCCGAGATTGTTCCGGAGTGACCGGAGTCGGATTGAAACGATGTATCCAAACTCAGTTAACTCCAAACTCCGTGCAAACTCTTCAGAAGCCGGGCGACTCCTGACTTCGGCGGATCGCCAAAAGCCGCTCGCCGGTGTCTTCGAGCTCATCGTCCTCGAAAGGCCTTGGTGTCGGAGCTTGGAATCGAAGAGCCATGTCATCCATGTCACATTTCCAGCTGGGCTGCAGCTGCTGACACATCATTTCCTGGGCCGGGAATCACCGGGAACAGTATGAATGCCGGAGTATGAATGCCGGAGTATGAATGCCGGAGGCCAACTCTTCATTCTGAGGCGCGTAGACGAGAACACCCAAAGACCACCAGTCAGCCGAGTTGTCGTGGTAATGGGGAGGATCAATCATCTCAGGCGCCATATAATCTGGAGTCCCAGCCTGGAACGAGGGCACAAAAGACTCAAGGCGATTGAGCACTGCGCCTGTGTGTTGGTCTTACCCACCACAAACCGGGCGAGGCCCATGTCACAGATTTTCCCGTAACCTCTGGTGTCGAGCATGATGTTCCTTGGACTTGCGTATAGCATGGCGCTTTGCACGCTTTGCATCGCTTGCCGAAGGGCTCTGGCTTCAGATCCCGATAGATGATCTTTCTTTCGTGCAAATGCTCCAGCGCTGCGATCACGCAACCTGCATAGAAGGCCTGAAAGCCGACGGCCGGACCCACGAAGGGCTTGACCCAGACCACACAGACCACACAGACCACACAGACCACACAGACCACACAGATCGGCTGAGCTGCCGAAGTGGAACCCCGCGGCTCGTCGTTCAGGAAGATCTCCTGACTCTCACCCAAGTTCGTCGTTTTCCCTGTGTCAGGCAACCGTAAAGCTGAATTGCACGGGCATACCAGGGTACCATGAGTACCATGAGGCCAGGATTGTCTCCAAGCTGCTTGATGGGAGTTGAACATCCCATAGAGATCACCGCCCAAGGCGGCTTCCAGGAGAAAGTACACGAACTGCTGATCCTGACCCGAGCTGACTACCCCAGACTCTCCACTGGCCTTTCAATGTCAGGCCAAGACCTCTTGCAAGTCGCACCGTGGCACCCGTTCCAATCCAACATCCTGAAAGCTGGTCCTTCAACGTCCTGTGCAAACGTACAATGAAGTTGCTGTCGAGCATGTTCAGCAAATCCCGCTCCCAGCAAAGTGATTGGCAAGTCCCCATCCGCGCGGAGTGACCCTTCCTGGCAATTGAAATACAAAGCAATATGAAGAATATGAAGAATGTGAAGTAATATCAAGTAACTCAATGCTCGCAGTCAGGCTGCGAGACTCGCTTGAGCGCATATCTGCGGCGTGCTTCATCGTCCTGCCGCAAAAGCTTCGGCGCGCGGCTTCACAAAGCGTCCATGTCCTTCACAAGGAAAACGGTGCCGAACGCACCCTGCCCTAGACCTGCGAAGAAACAGGGCAAAGCTCTGAAAAGCTGATGGTGCAGCCGAGCTGCGGCAAAGCTCGTGCAAGGAATTGAGATCACTCTTACATTGAGCTTTCTGAAGAGAGCGGCAGGTACTCCCCTTTTGTTGTTCCCACTGACCTTGCTCGATGTGAGGCGAGCAATGCGAAGCAATGCGTCAAAGGCATCAAATGCAGGGGAAGTTGCTGGCATCGCATTCCACACTGGGCAGCAGGGATGCATCACTACCGGCAAGGCCTTACAGAGAGAGCTCCCAATCCAAGTCTGTTGGGTTCTCTTCAATTCTCTACGAGTGACTGCTAAAAATATCGCAAATCAGATCTCCATCAAAGGTCAAGCATTTGAGACCTCCGGGCCCTGCGTCCACGCTCACCTCACGATGCAAACCCGTTCGGTCACACGCGCGCGACGAAGCCGCACCTCGGAGATGCACTGGCCGGTGACTTTCGCCTTCATCAAGGACCGCTCACCGAAGCTGCTGCCTTGCGCACAAACTCAAACAGCGACCCCGGCCACCCCGAGTACCCGGGGCCTCGCGACAGCTCAGCAATCTTGCGGCCTAGGAATTCGTCGGATAGTCAGGGGTGTCGGGGTCTCGGGGTCTCGGGGTCTCGGGGTCTCGGGGTCTTGGGGTCTCGGTCCAGTCGCATGCTTGGGCCGTAGCAGGTGTGCTGGTCTTCCTGGCTCAGGATGGCAGAGCCGGAATGGATTACATACCTTGCACCAGGGCTAAAACACCGTGTGCAGTCTCAACCCACCAATGGCCAATGACAAACGGGGTGTGCCAAGCGTCCAAAGCGGCTTCTGGCGCACTTTGCCTGGTCAGGTGAAAAGCCTTTCTGTGCTGACTCAAGCCTCTGAGAGCCTTGGAAAAGCACCCGTCGCCCAGGCTCGAAATCCACCAGGTCCTGTGCGTAGGCCGCCAACTCCATCCTCTGAGACCTGGCACACAATTGCGGGGACACGCAAAGCTAAAGTCACTTATGGACATGGCCTGGCCTGAGCAGTGGGGTCAATGAATCGACCTGACATTGATTTCAAAGCACAGTTCCCCTGGCAGAAGCCAGAAGCTACAAGAGTTCATCCGCATCCTTGCCCTCGCCGACCTCATCCACCAGGTCGCAGTACTCCTTAAACTTCCGCCGGCCATTGTCACGGCCTCGCTCCAGATCTCCATGCAAAGCCCGCATGGAGCGAATTCCGATCGCGGCCTGTGATCTCCTTAAAGACCTTGCGGTTAATGACCTGAAAAGAGAACAAATGGAGATATCAGGAACGTGCCTTGCTGAGCTCTGGACCAGCAGCTGGGTGTCCTCCGCCGCACGGAAGGTGGCCTCTCTCCGGATGTTGTACATCAGGGACAACTCCCCGAAGCTGTCCCCGGCGTGCAAGGCGCTGATCACCTCCGATTGCTCGAAGCTTTCCCCAAACCCAATCGCTCGAAGCGCTCGCGGCTTCGCACGCCTTCTCCCTGGGCTCTGGCTGATCGAGGGAGGCGATGCGGCCTGCGCCGTGCGTCTGCCTTGTGCCTTCGGGGACCGGGACTCGGCCTAGACCGCGATCGCCACGCAGGGACGCCGCCGCAAAGTTCCCGATCCTGGACACAGCGGCGCTAGAAAGCAAGAGGGAAATGTTGGTGCCGGCCTGTCTCCGAAGCTGGGACTCCTGCGAAAGCCTTTCCTGAGCTGAGCAACTTGGGATGTTTGGGAGACAGCCAAGTGATGCCCGGGTTCGCTTTCTTTTCCATTTCATCCTCCAGGCGAGGATCCTGCCGCACATGCGGTATGACGCTGCCCTCTCATACTCTCCACATGCTCCACTCATTCAGCCTTCGTCAAGACAGAGCAGCTGCGATTGATCTTCTTCTTTCTCTTGTCTACCACAGGTATGTGCAGCTTCATCAGAAAGTCCTGCTTCCTGGATACTTGCACCACATTGAGTGCACAGTACGTCCTGCCCAGCTCCTTCTGATGCGATCTGCCAGTGAGAAGGTGGCGGCCGCAGCTGCGGCAGACTTTTGGCCACTCGAGCCGCTGGTGATAACCACTTCGATGCTGCCTTTCCTCCAGCCATGAAACATGATTGCGTTGGTTTCGCACAAGGAGAACTCGGAGTGAGAGAACTGAGGTCCCCACTCAATGACAAAGAACTCGTGGCCCAGGTCCCCGAAGGTGGCAGCTGCCTTCCCCGCCGGGATGCATCGCTCCTCCGAATGGGACACCTAGGATCGAAGAATCGAAAAATCAAAAATCCGAGTCGAGTCGGGAGCCTTTGCGCCAAGGCGCGACATCCTTCATGGCATCCTCGCCGAGCTCGGTTTCATCCACAAAGGCCCTGAAGTTGGGGTTGTGCTTCATGGCGCGGATGATGAACTCCTGCTGCTTCTCCGTGATCTTGCCTTAACGCAAGGATTCCGTTCACATGGCTCGCATGGCTCGCATGGCTTGCCTCCGAACGAGGCATTCTTCCTGGGCACGGAGGCTCTCAAGCTCAATCAAGAGCCCTTGCCGGGCCGGCCACGCTTCCCAATTGCCACGCTTTGCCACGCTTTGCCACGCTTTGCCACGCTTGCCAGGCGTCTTGGGCGACAGAGGAGTGGTTGGCGCCAAGGTTGCGGCTGACGCGCTGCCTGGCAGAGGCCAGTGTGCCCAGGGGCGCGCCCGCCCGGCCCGCCCAGCCCGCCCAGCCCAAGTTCGGAAAGTTCAGCTCCGGCCTCCCATCTCAATGGCCGGTCGCTTTGGGAAGTGGAGGCAAGACTTGAGCCCGGACTCCTCAAAGACCTGAGGCAGTGGCACGCGAGTCTCTGCCCAGGCCCTCCCTAAACCCGTTTCCGACATGCGGAGTTTGCCTGCTTCGACATGGAGAGCGTCACCAGGTCGTCTGGGCCCGCAGCGATGACGGTGGCCATGTGCCTGAGAAGCAATATCCGATGCACACCGCAAGTCTGGGCAGTTTCCGCCAATGGTTCGCCTCTGCTCTGTGACGATGGCACGACCTGCAAACCAAACCTCCTGCAAGGGTCCATCAACCGTCCCCGACCTCCGATGTAGTCACCAGCGCTCAGCAAAGCACCCTCGTGCTCCTGACAAAGGCTGCTTCCACTGAGCCAAGTTCACAAAACGTCCTCGCCCTGGTCATCTCGCACCATCAGCACAGCTTGCCCCGAGTAGATCATGAAAAACGTCGTTCCAAGGTCACCTCGAGAACCCCTCGGACTGTCCGACTGGACCCCAATCCCATCGCAGCCTTGGGTGACAAGCTTCGTGTCTGGCTTCCAAGTATTCTTCTCCAGCAGCTGAGCCACCTGCACAGTCAAGCATCGCAAACCGCCAGGTGGATCGAATGGAGCATTTGGTATCGCTGTATGCCTATTGAGGCTTGGGATAGCATGGGATGGCGTGAGACCAGATTGGGCATGACCTATTTCAGAATGGCAGCTTGCAATGCTTGCAAAAGAAGTTGTGATATTGGCAGATTGGAGGGGCACAAGGAAGACAAAGCGACTTGAAACGGCGATTGCCCGGGTGCCCACAAGCAAGCTGACAGGCCCTTGAGGTCGTGAAACGAGGTGCTCCCTGCAATGTGGAACTGTGCAAAGGTGATCCCGTTGCGCCTTGGGCCACTCGGAGGGTGGCAGCTGCTTCTTGAAGAGTGGCACCTCAGACTCGACGGGAAGGCGCTTGTCTGGAAACGAGATGCGCCTTTGACCGGGCATAAGGTTCTGCCGGGGTCCCGACAGAGCCAAGGAAAGTGACGATCTGCTCAAACTTATCTCGCTCGTCGGTGAAGCTCCTATGGGAAGCGAAGTCATTGAGGGTTACTGAAACTCGAAACTCCGAACTGACCGCGCCTGAAGGAGAACAATCCAGAGATGCCTTCCATGCACGAGGCCAGGCCGCTACAGCCTCTCAAGACTCAGCCGACATCGCTTCTCAACATATCTTGTGCAGCACGGCATCTGCACATACATACACAAATGGGCACGAGAGCAAACAGCGAAGGATGCATGTAGTCTGTGATTCGCACGAGCTATACTCAGCATGATACTTGAATACGCATGCTAAGGCAGGAAGACCTCGCTGCTCGAGCTTGGCTATAAGATTGCTGTCTCGACCCTCGCATGGAAAACCTTCTGCAAAGCGCGCGCACAGTCCAACGGTCGAATAACGGCCCGTTTATGGCACAGCCGGACCTGTGCCCCGGGTGACAGAGAATGTCGGCGCTGCGCAAATTTGGCTGCTTTGCGCTACAAGTGGATCGCCCATCACTTGGAAGGATCAACTAAGCTTGCGCTTCGGGCTTTGCTCAACTGGACGCGCAGAGGTTTGCCGTTCTCTTTGGGACATTGGCTCGCTTGCACAGCGTCCACCTCCACAGCAAGTCGCAGGTGTGAGTGTGCAGGAAGCCAAAGCCAAGGAATATCTCCAAAAGTCCTCCCTTGTGAGCAAGAAAAAGAGGGATTGGGATCGCCGGGGCTAAAAATTGCAAAACCTGCATGAACATGTTTGTTACACAAAGGGGCAGCGTGAAACGACTGAAAGAAAACCAAAGATCACTTTGTGGAGTTCCTGGAGTTTGTATCGCTCAAAAACAAAAAAGGGCGAAACACCATGGCTCTAGGAGTCCGGCAAGCGGACTCCTTCTTGAAGGTGGACACCTTCACGGAAACGCCGCCTCCCAAACATTCCGAGCCGCTTTTTCTTTTTGGCATTAGGGTCTTTGCACTCGCAAGCTGTGCATGGCTCGTAGCTGGGTGCTGGGCTGGAATGTGGTGGCTCGTCAGGAAGCGTCCCCTGTCTCTGTACCGCCTCCTTCGGTAGGGAGAGCCCAGCGCGGTGTACTGTGGGACTTTCCTCCATCTCCGACGCATCCTCCAACGCACTCGCTACCGCCTGCGGAACCTCCTGTGGCGTCTCCTCTGTCGTCTCCTGTGGCGTCTCCTCTGTTGTCTCCTGTGTCGTCTTTCGTGGCGTCTCCTGTAGCGTCTCCTGCGGAGCCTCTGTTGGCACCTCCGGCGCCTCAAACGGCGCCATGGAGGTTGCGGGGATGCCTGAAGTGGACGCGTCCGGAGCTCCGTCAGGCTGACCTTTGGGATCTAAGTTCTGGGTCCGAGCCTCCTTTGGAGCGGCTTTCGCATCTGGACTCCGCTCCCCTGTCCGCACTCTGGCAATTGGATCCACTCGCGGCTCTGGCGATTTCGTCGGGGTGTGAAAGCGTAGAACCGGTCGATCCGTGTGCGGCCGAAGATCCGGCGCTGGTGCTTGCCAGGGAAGTCGGGCGCTGCCTGTCGCTAAAGCAAACCACCTCGCCACTTGGGAGACAAGGCCTGCTTGAAAGGGCACTCCCGGAGCTTGCCTGAAGATCCTGAAGTGGCAAGGCGTTGGCAAAGCGTTGGCAAAGCGTTGGCAAAGCGTTGGCAAAGCGTTGGCAAAGCGGGAAACAGAAATTTCACAAAAGGACCCAACTTCCCAGGTGACAGCGGCGCGCGGAAGTCTGTGTAGACCTTGCGCTTCGAAGCCGCGAGTCTTCAACTTTCGAACTTTTGAGGCTGCGACCGGCCGTGACCTCGAGGCCTGAGCGACCAAATCGAACCCGAACAAGGAGCTGCAGCAAGGGCCTCGACGAAGCGGGCAACGGCGTTCACCTCACGAGAACACGACAGCGGACGTTCACTCGCTTCAACTCCCTATGTCGTTTCAAATCTCCAATCATTTCAACGTTTCGGAGCACGCCTGCGGCCGAAAGGTACCTGCGAGCCGCTTGGGCGCTCGCTCATGCGGAGAGCCACAGAAGCCGCGCCTTGCGAAGTGACGCCCACGGGAACCTGACACAAAGGAGCACGCTGCTTTCCAGATTTCAGAGCGGGCGTTGAGGGACAAGGCCGAGGCAGGTTGGGGTGGCATCGCCTGCGAGCTGTTGGCACCGGCTTGAGAATCATTAGAATCATTAGAATCATTCAGCAAGCTCGGATGCCCGCTGAGCACCACACCTGAACATTGATGGTGGGACTGGGCCTCTGCGGGTACTTGGTGGGACTGGGCCTCTGCGGGTACTTGGTGGGACTGGGCCACTGCGGGTATCTCGGTGGAGATCCTGTTGCTCAAACACAACAAGAGCAACTCATGTTGTGACATCGGAGCATCTGTCCTTGAGCTGCCATGGCGCTGCGCTAAAGGACCTATGGATCAAAACCTGCTCAGCTTGCAACATTTAGCACTTGGATTGCTAAAGCTTCTCAGGTAGAGTCTAAGAGTCTAAGAGGCGTGTGGCCATGCCCATCCTATCTTTCCCGCCGTCTAGCATTTGCCCGAAATGCGGGTGATTCGAGCCGCACAAGCGCAGTCGGATGCGGGAAAAACTCAAGGCCCAGGGCCCGAAAAGGCCCCAACACAAAGCAGCTCAGCAGCTCAGCACTGGACGAGGCGGTTGCCAGGAGCACAAAGATACATACAAACAGAGAGCAGTAGGCATCGGCCTGCCGGCTGAGGGACCGGATGCGGGGCTGCAGGGCGGATGCAGTCCCTGCCTTGGATGCTTCTACCACGCCCACCTGATGGAAGCAGAAGCACTCGCACCACTCACCTGCCCACCTGCCCACCTGGGCCAGAATCCCAGCCAGCAGCACTGCCAAACCGCGGACCTCGGTAAGAACTTGACGAGAAAGAGAAGGGGGAGAAGGGGGAGAAGGGCTCCCACCATGTCAGCTCCCAAATGGGCAAGTGCTCCAAAGAGGTTCATGTTCGAAGCCTCCGGCCACAGCTCGCTTTGAGTCGCTGCTCTTCTCGCGCTGCGCCTCTTCTTCCAACAGCTTGGACTTGCTACTCTGCCAGGTGCAAAGTACCTCCGAGTCAGAGACTGCCTGGGATTCTTGGCCCCAAGGGGTCACCACGCACACGTCTGCGGCCAAATTCACGGCAGTGAAGACGATCATGATCACGCTATTGACCTGCAACTTTCAGCACGCTGAAGCTCCGGCTGACTGTCTCAATTCCCAAGCGACGCATTCCCTTCCCAAGGTGCGGTGGCCATGGCGCGCAATCCAGCCTCGAGGTCGAGCTGCGTCCCATTCACCTGGGAGCTCGTTTGGCTCGTTTGGAGTCCTGCCTGGAGTCCGGTCGGCGCCTGCACGGCCGATTCTCGCTCCTCACCCACCAGCCGCTCGACGACGTCGAAGAGCACCCACGCCCTGCCAGAGACTTCGGCGCTCGGCCCCCGAGATGCCGAGGGCGTCGCGTCGTCGCAGCCAGCATCGCAGCGCTGAAGAAGGCAGCCTCGGAGTCGAGAGCTCAAGGCTCGGCTTTGGTAATCCGCTTGGGCAAATGCGATTCTGTCCAGGCGTTTGGCATCCTGGCACATGGCACAAGATGGCACAAGATGGCACAAGATGGCACAAGATGGCACAAGATGGCACAAGCCGCTCATGCTCAAGCTACTCTAGCAAGTGTCCTCTGCGGAGGATTTTTGCCTCTCGGCGTACAAGCTGACGGCATAGGAAACCTGCCAAGAGCAAAATGTCTTGAGCACGCTGCGGTCTGAGTTCATCACGCCATCCATGGCCATCAAAGCGCCGTCGCCCAGGAGGGCCAAGGAGTTCCTGAGGCTCAAATGCCACACCGAGTTTTACAAATTCTCTGAGTGGGGCACGCGATGAAGCCACAAATAATCTGCATGCCTCAGGCAATCCCAATGTGAAGGAAACACTCTGCAACTTGCGTGCCTGTGAGGAGGCTGTTGACGCCTAGCATCAGCCAAAGCGTCCTTTCCTCACATGCCAACCCGTGCCAACACGTGCAAACACATTCCAACACGTGTCGACAGCACATGCTACCACGTGCCAACACGCGCCAACACGTTCTGACACTTGCCAACACCTGACAACACGTGCAAAACATGCCAACACATGCCACCACAGGCCAACACATGAAAACAGGTGCGAAAAATGCCGAAATATGCCAGCACGTGATCACACATGCTGCCAACACGTGCCAACAAGTGCCGACAGATGACAGGTGGATAACCAGCCCTGTCAACATCGAGCAAAGGGGCATGGCACATGCCAATACGTGCGCATGGTTAGCTTTGCTCCGAGTCGCGGTGTCGTTGCATCGGGTCCCGGTGCTGGCTAAACTGCCCTCGCCTGGCACGAGCGACGCCGTCCCTGCCGAGGCCGACGCTCGTGGCCTTCAAATCCCATGCAGGGGCCGACATGGGCGCAGCGCTGGCGGGCAGCTACAGCTAAAGTCGGCTAGTGATCCGGTTGTGACGATTACCAAACACTTCTGCATAGTCCACGCCAAAACATTGCCCTGACCGCACATCTGGCTTGGGCAAATGCTGAGAAGTGCTGCATGCCTACTCAGGCGCACCGAAATGAAGCAAACAACATGCACGTGCAAGCCGAAATGCCTCGACAATTGGTCAACCTCTGGGGCAATGAGAGAGCAATGTGCAGCTCAACTCTATCACCATTGCACTGCAACATTGGATTGGATGGTTGGCGCGTCATTTGGAGGGGGATCTGCGACTCCACAACAGGTAGGTTTTGTCTCCCCCAGGGCTGGCTTTTTTCGCGGGCTGGCTGGCATCCCGGCATCACTAGCCTCACCCTTGGCGGGGCTTGCCAGTTGGCTCTGATTGGGTGGCAGTTGGGAGTTGCTGGGGGCTGGTGTAACTTCCGGGGGGGTTAGGCTGGCTTAGATCTTCATGAGGGTGGGTCTTGAGGTGGTTTGGGGTTGATTTACGCGAAGCAAAGGGCTGACATCCAGGCTGCTGTTGGGCGGGTTTAGGGTTGACTTTGGGTAAATTTGGGGTTGGCTTGGGAGCTGACTTGTATTCGGTGTGCTGCCGGTTAAGCGGGGGCTTTTAGGGTTGCTCAGGGATGTGGTTATGTGAGTTTTGGTCTCGCTTAGGATTCGTTTGGGGGCGCCTCAACCCCAAAACCACCTCAAGACCCACCCTCATGAAGATCTAAGCCAGCCTAACCCCCCCGTAAGTTACACCAGCCCCCAGCAACTCCCAACTGCCACCCAATCAGAGCCAACTGGCAAGCCCCGCCAAGGGTGAGGCTAGTGATGCCGGGATGCCAGCCAGCCAACCAACCAACTAACCCAAGGCAAAGAAACACCTCATCCCTCCACAACACATAAAACAAAAACCGCCAGTCCCGTTTTCTGACATTAGCACAACCTCCTTCAGACATCTACAGCTGTCAAGTCAACAAGCTGCCAATGGTCCCAAAAGCAAAAGCAGCTAGAAAGAGCTGGCCGAAGTGTACGGATCGTACGGATCGTACGGATCGTACGGCTCGTACGGCTCGTACGGCTTCTGGCATTTGAGATTTCTGAGATGTCATGCCCAGTTCGAGTGCGAGTTCCCTTTCTCGCCACGTCAGAGGTTGGCCGACTGAGCCGCGGCCTCCAGCAGCACAGAGCGCAGCCGTCCATACGCCTCACAGGCCTCCTCCTGCACGACGGGGTATGCAAACGGAAAAGAACAACCAGAAACCCCCCAAAAAAAGGACAAAAAAGGACAAAAAGAGCCGCACCACCGCACGCACTCGCCTGCAGCTCCAGGAAGCGGCTCGATTCCATGGGCATGGCTGCCAGCAGCGGCTCGAGCTCCTCCAGCGAGCCCAGCAGCGCCACGCAGGCGGACTCTCCAGTACCTCCACAGATCCAAAGCTCCAAAGCTCCAAAGATCCAAGCCCGTCTGCGTTTGCAATCGAAGCGAAGTTGTACCGTACCAGACTGTTCATACCGGGCATGCCGGGCATGCCGGGCATGCCGCACCAGCGCCTGGCCGGGCGAGCTGCTGCGTCAGCGCGGCGTTGGCGCGGCGCAGCTCTCGAAGCTCCTGGAACAAAACCAAGAAGCTCCCGAATAAGAAGCTAAGAAGCTGCTGGCTGACTCAGCGCTCGTGAGGAATTTGAGGGTCCCTAAGATTGCTTCGACTTGAGTGTTTCAGGATCCCACAGAATCTTCATGGGGTCAGAATCTTCATGGGTTCTGTGGAGACGTAATTTGGGGATCCGGCATGGGACGCGAACCCCAGAACCCGATTGCTGGATTCAACTTCCGAGATCAAGGATTCTCACATCAAGCGAAGCGAAAGGAAGCGACGTCGCTCGGGGGCGCTCGCCTGCGTCTCTGTGTCCGTCGCCCTGAGGGCCTGGACCTCTCGGCTGAGCTTCTCCATCATGCCTCCCACACCCTCAAATTGCCGCCCGTTTGCTTTCTGATTGCTTATTGCGGTTTTCGTGTTTATCTTTTTTCTGCTCTTTGATTGCCTTCCCATTGGTTTGCTCTTGGAATTGTTCTCGTTTTATGTTACTGTCTCTGTTGTAGGACAGTTTCGCACTTCTTGGGGTCGGCCTCACAAAATGCGCGACTGTCCCAAACAATCAATCCTGGCAAGCCGAGACCCCAAAAAATCTGGAGACTGTCCAAAAAACGAACAGTCCTGCAGAGTTTTCGATTCAAATTCTAACTGAAAGATTGAAATGAATCTCCTAAGAAGGAAAGCACCTTTAATAGTTGTTGACATTCGAGTTCTATGTTAAATCTGCTTGGAATCCTATATAGAAAAAGGTACGAATGAAGCTAGATTCTGCTGGCATTCTTGCCTTCTTCACTTCTAGCTGAATCTTGATTGAACAAATCCTTCTGGAAAAAAGCAAACCCGCCGTTAAAGTCCAAATTTAAATAAGAATGCCAGTTAAACTCTAGTTGAAATCGTATTTAGAAAGGAAATCATATTGAAACTATTATTGAAACTCGCAATTCTACTACATCTTTAATGGATTAAAATCATGGGAAGGAAATCTCATGAAGTCTAACTTGAAGCTTGTTTGTAAACTGAAAAGTAATTGAAGTCCTCTTTCAAAAGGAAACCCTATATTGAGTTCCAGCTGAGGCTAGAATTTGTACTAGAACTTTTGTCTTACTAAGATCCATGTCTTGGTTGATCAAGTATGCAGGAACCTCTTGGAAAAGAATGCCCAATTTGAGCCCGAACTTGAAACTTCAAAAAACATACTATTGAAAACACGTACTTGCCAGGAGGCGAGTCCACCACGTAGTCAATGACAAGGCAGTTCGGGTTCGAATCCCGTGGGGTGACCAATACCCTCGACAATGGAGTCGTATAGTAGCGGTCGTTGTAAAAGGGGGTTGTAAGGTAAATGATCTGCGCTGTCTCACGACTCGATGCGACGGCGGAATACGGACCTTTTGCTTTGCTTCACAGCTGTATTCTGGATGTTTGCCTCCAATGCATCATCAAGGTCTTGAGCCAAATGCATTCGCGTGTACATGTCGGCTGCACACAAAACACCATTTCCCCCAAAGGTTTGAGGGACCTTAAAAGAGGGGAAAGAACAGGGTGACCCTCAGAACCTGCCCGTAGGATCTTTCAGCCTGCGGCTCGCAGATTCTTAGCATCCCCCATCCCGGGCTTTGGTTCATTTCTGGGTCGGGAACTAATCACAAACGCATGCCGACACGCATGGACGCACGGCTTCTCTTTTTAAATTCAGTGAAACGTCTCTGCACAAGTTTGACCAGGTTCTGCAAATTTAACAGGAAATGAGAATGCTACAGGTCACGTACCGGACCTCATGTGCAATGGCGCACATGCAGCAAGCTATCTATCAGGTAATTGTACAGATCCAGACAGAAAACGAGTTTCCGTGACTAGCATAGTCCATCACCAATTTGTAACCAGTAATAAGTGTAGCATCGAATAATCATTGACCACCAAATACTTGGCATCTCCAGAATAGTAGTCGCCAATGACGAGTACCACAAGGGCTGACCATGATACCATGCACGATGAGTATCACGATCCCATTGTGTGCAAATTCCAGCAGATCCCCCACATAGAAGAAATCGTAATGGAAATGCTTGATCACCAGTGTGATGATTCAGCGATGGCCTTTCTACTCGCCCTCCACCGGAACCTTTCTAGCAGAGAATGTGGTGTCTCCTCGGTCCGATTGATCTTCTCGATATAGCGCGAGGGCAGATGTATATTGCGAGTAAAGCACCATTGGATAAGAGGAGTGTCAACCTCTTTGACGCTTTGAACGCAAATGATGGCACCAAGTTCAACTTTCAAGAACTTACGTCCAATGAGCACACCATAAATTTTCGTAGGTCGTGGGCCTGGGCTTCAGAGCCACGTGACCGGCAGAAATGGACCCGCCTTTTGAAAGAACAACTCCCCCATGAAGCTGCCATACCCGTAGTCCATGAAGCCGTAGTCCAAGAGACTTGCACCGCTCGCCTTGACAGGATGAATGCAATATTCACCTCAATCCAAGTGACTGCCTATCTAATCCAGACAGCAGTGTGGGCGCTTGCTTTTTTCGGTTGTGCTTTTTGCCAGTTGGTCTTCAGCACTTTGAGGCCTTAAGGTCACCCGCATCCTGCTCAAAATCCCATGCTTCGCCATGGCTTGCTTGTAACACGCTAACCACCAACATGATGGACCCGGAAGAACATGTTCACTTCCAGATCTGGAGGAACCTTAAGAGGTACCTCTACCGAATATTGCGCGAATCTGTTCGGTAGAAGGTCATGTAGTCGCAATTGAGGCAAAGGGCAATGCGTCGGAATATCGTGCCGCTGACGAAGGCAATATCCTTCTGGTGCCTGACACCTCTAAATTGCTCTGCGTTTATACCAAGTGTATTGCAGGCGGTCCAAATCCGATACATAATGCGCCAGCTCCAGGAACCAAAAGAACATCTCTTCGTCCCTGCGGTTCGCACTCACATTTCTGAATTTTGGAGCGGCAACAACTTCGTTATAGGTGGGTGGGACTGGAATGTTCTATCCGTCGACTTCATTGAAGATCCAGTCGTCCCTCCCATTGATCGCGATGTAGGGACAATAGACTCTGCCACCTTTGCCAGCTTCCTTGACCACGTCTGCCTCGTTGTTGGCGAATACCTTCCACACTCTGAACTCGTCAGGGTTGTCCGGACAAACTCCGCATCTTCGTCGTCGATGTCCGTCCTGATGTCCGATGGAAGGTACGACTTGCCTGCAGACCGTTCCTCACTCATCTCATTGGTGTCGGGTCGTTCTTCCTCGGCGATGATGCGCTCAGCATCTTCTTTTGCTTGTCGCTGAGCTTGCTTCACTTCCTCCGTCACGTTTACGTTTGCGGTGTCGGATGGCTTGGGCTTGTCGTCATTCACATGGATCACGAACTTGCTGGTGGAAATGAACATTCGCATGCCGCGCAGTAACAAAATCCCCTTGGAACGATGACAGCGCACGCTGGGCATACTCTGTTGGAAACACTCGATGGATCGTCCTCGCGGTAGACGATGAATCTGCTGAGCAAATCCCTGATCTCTACCAACGATTTGTTCAAGGTCTCGGGCACTCCAATGTTGACGCACGCCGTGACGACCATCTTCTTCAGGATGTCGGCATCCGCAGAGTCTTCATCGTCCAGGAAACTGTTGAGGTTTCCAAGAAAGTCCGCTGGGGTCACGGCCACAGCGTCCTTGAGTCCTGGGCAGATCTCGCTCTCGACGACGCGGGAGTAGATCCGCCTAACCTCTTTGACAGGTCCTTTCCTCACGGACTTGAATCTCCAGATTGCCCTTACCGCTTTGGAATGGTCTCGAAGGCGTCGATCGTCCCTCCCGATATGACGCCTGACGGACAATTTCCTCGTTGGCACGTAGATGGCGATGAAGTCATCTCCCTCTTTGACATCGTGCGTTGCGGTCTTGGTCGAGATGTAATACTCCGAAGTGTACTGCCAACCCTCGCGCACTGCCATTGCCGCCAGGAACAATACCTCTCAAAATGATACCTTCCAGAGCTGATGGCCTTGTCACGTGGTATGCTCCGCCCAAGGGACATGTTCGGGAACAACATGTTGCAAAGTTCAGCAGGACGAGCGAAACCGAAATCCGAATGTCCCGTCGAATGCACCATGGTTGCCACCATCCGCCGTGCTCGCGACGAATCCAGTCGATGTTGTCCTTTGTCCATCCAGCCGCTATGAGACCCGCCATCGACTCAATGTCAATTTCCTGATCGAATCTCGCAGCAAGAATATGCAGTCTCGGTTTCCGTGCTCTGCGATCCTCCGATCTGACGCACTCGGCGATGATTTGAAACTTGTCGTTCTTCCTGTACCGATCCTGCGGGAACGCGTCCTCACGGCTCAGGATGCGGTCGATGTTCACCCATCCTCCACCATTGCAAGGAATAGGGTTTCCCCTCTTTTGGCCGATTTGATGGAGTAGGATCTTCACCAGTGCTTCTGATGTATAGAATACGTTGCTGTGGTGAATGTTGGATCCAAATGCTGTGTAATCCTTGTACGGCCAATAGGGAAAACTTGTGTCTCTGTTCTGCATGTTCATGACTCTCCCTTTGGCAGTGTGTGGGCCATACACGAAAACATACTGCCTCATCACCGGGTTGAGGAATCATAGAGGGGTTTGCTCCACAAAACGAATCGAGCATGTTGTTGTACTCCTTCATGGTTCCGTTGGGGTTCGCGTAGTACTTCAAGCTGAAAACGCCTCCCTCGGATGGAATATTGGCTCCTCCGTTTCCGGTTGATGCGGTTTCTCATGAGGTTCGCGGACATCGGTGCCATCTCTTCATCATCATCAGGAACTTCCATGTCGATGTCTTCATCGGATGAAGGATGTCCTTCTGGAAGAAACAGCGTCTTAATCTTGCCACGAGCCGAGTCAGACTCCGTTGCCTTTGTGGTATCTTTGCATGTCCCATCATGGGATTCTTTTCCGCACTTGATGCAAATATTGAGTTGGCCAGCGCGATCGCAAAGATCCTCGAACATCCGCAACAGCTCTGCTCGTCTTGCGGCGATGTCCTCGACCCTCGATTGTTTGGCTTCAGGGTCTTCGGCGTGATCGGGTTCACGACCACGATCAGCCTCGTCCTCATGATCGGACTCGCCTGCTTTCCTCTTCTGGCCTGATGAACTGGCTTCCTCAAGATCGATGAACGGGTTCGAGTACGCCAGCTTGTCCATGATGTCCCTGACATTCTTGTTGGGGACCTCCATGCACTTCACAGCGCCGCTTCTTTTTATTGTTGAAGCCCGTCATGTGAGAGGTCATGTTCTCCCTGACGAACTTTAGGAACGTGGCTTCCAGCATTGGTCGGTATTGGCAAACGTTCCCCCTTTGTGGAAATTCCTT